CTAAATTTCAGATCTGTACCCATAGCCCTTTGCATAGCTTGCCATAAATTCGATGTAAACCGAGGATCACGGTCTGAAACAATATCCCTCGGTACCCCATGTAGTCGCACAATCTCCTTAATGTAGATCTCAGCATACCTATCAACCGTATAGGTGGTCTTGACCGGTAAGAAATGTGCTGACTTAGTCAAACGATCTACAATTACCCAGATAGAGTCAAAACTAGCCTGGGTCCTCGGCAAACCAGATACAAATCCATTGAAATACTCTCCCATTTCCATTTAGGAATCTCCAAAGGCTGTAATAACCCCGATGGCTTTTGGTGCTCTATTTTGACCTTCTGACAGGTCAAACACTTACTAACATACTCTGTGACATCCTTTTTCATGCCTGGCCACCACCAATGACGTTGCATGTCATGATACATCTTAGTAGCACCGGGATGAAGGGTGTAGCTACTTCGATGTGCCTCATCCAACAATTTCTTCCGAATAGACTCATTGTTAGGAATACACACCCTATCCTTGAAAACCACATACCCATCATCACTAAACCAATAGTCCATTATCTCACCATTCTCGATGTCTTGACTTATTTTTGACAAAATCGGATCTTGAAGCTGAGCATCTCGTATCTCTTTCCAAAATTCATTAGAAATAACCATAGTATTAAGACCATTCAAAGAGAACTTAGTCATACCCAAAAAAATTTCAACCAAAGATTCCATCAATCTATGCTCCCGAACCATTAAATAGGCTACATGTAAGGTCTTGCGACTAAGAGCATCTGCTACCACATTTGCTTTCCCCGGATGATACTTAAATTCAAAATTATAATCTTTAAGAAACTCCATCCAACGTCTCTGTCTCATATTCAGCTCTTTTTGATCCACCAGGTACTTGAGACTTTTATGGTCGCTCATGACCCTGAACTCTGTTCCATAAAGATAATGACGCCAGATCTTTAACGCAAAGACCACCGCAGCCAACTCGAGATCATGTGTTGGATAATTCTCCTCATGCGGTCTAAGTTGTCTAGATGCATATGCCACTGCTCTCTCATCTTGCATTAGAACACAACCAAGACCCTTATGAGAGGCATCAGTATACACATCATAGGGCTTTTGAGGATCCGAAATCACCAATACTGGAGCTGTTGTTAACCTTTCTTTCAACTCAAGAAAAGCTGTCTCGCACTTATCATCCCAGATAAATGGCCTATCCTTCCTTGTGAGTCTAGTCAAAGGCATAGAAATCTGAGAGAAACCTTTGATAAAACGCCGGTAGTAACCTGCTAATCCCAGAAAACTACGGATCTCAGTTATCGATTTTGGTCTCTCCCATTGCATGACTGCTTCAACTTTATATGGATCAACTGCAATACCATTTGCCGACACGATATGTCCCAAGAACCTAACCTCTCTCATCCAAAACTCGCACTTACTGAGCTTGGCATATAGCTTATGATCTCGCAGAAACCTTAGGACAGTCCTCAAGTGTCTGGCATGCTGCTCCTCATCTTTAGAGTAGATCAGTATATCGTCAATAAAAACTACCACAAACTGATCCAAGAAAGGTCGAAAAATGCGGTTCATATAGTCCATGAAAACCGCAGGCGCATTAGTCAGCCCGAATGGCATAACCAAAAACTCATAATGACCATATCGAGTCCTGAAAGCAGTCTTTGCCACATCCTTCTCACTAACTCTTAGCTGATGGTACCCTGAACGTAAATCAATTTTAGAGAAAATCGTGGCACCAACCAACTGATCTAAGAGATCATCGATGCGAGGCAGTGGGTACTTGTTCTTCACCGTAACCTTATTCAACTGCCTGTAATCGATACACAATCTTAAACTACCATCCTTCTTCTTCACAAATAAGACAGGAGATCCCCAAGGAGAAACACTAGGTCTAATAAATCCCTTATCTAACAGCTCCTCAAGTTGCTTCTTCAACTCAGCTAACTCTGAAGGAGCCATTCTATAGGGAGCCTTTGAAATTGGCTGAGTCCCCGGTACCAGGTCAATCGAGAATTCAACCTCACGTTCTGGAGGTAATCCTGATACATCCTCAGAAAACACCTCTGGGAACTCCCTAACAACCTCAATTTCATCCACTATACCTGTCTCAGACCCTTGGGTAGCGAGCACTACCACGTAAGCCTCACAACCCTGCTCAATCAACCTTTCAACTTGTAAAGAAGAAAGAAAACAAGAATGACCAGGGTATTCCTTGATCACCTCCGGTACTTCTACCAAAGTCACTGTCTTAGCCACACAATCTAAGACAGCACCATAAGCTGTCAACCAATCCATACCAATAATTAAATCAATCCTTGCATAGGTAATTTGATCATATTTACCCAAGTCGATTGCCCATTAAAAGTCATCTTAGTCCTACACACCACACTGGATCGACCAACCAAACCAGAAGTAGAGGAAACTTCTATATCATGGGGCAACTGGTCAACAGGCATAGCCATTCTATCTAAGCGCTCGGCAGAAATAAAAGAATGCGTCGCACCACAATCAAACAAAGCTTCTAAATCGAGGCCACAGATAGAAACCATACCAGTGATTAGATTCGATGACTTCCTAGCCTCCTCCTGAGATACTGTATACACTCTACCAGGAATCACGTTCCTCCGGTCCGAGCTCTCATGTAAATCAGGGCAGTCACGGATCAAATGGCCTAACTTTCCACACTTATAACAAGCAAAGCAGCGACCAAAATGAACCCTACCACATCTATTGCAAGGTGACCTCGCTGTACTTAGAATTGGGGCTTGACTGGTCTGTGAAGAACGTGCTGGAGCATTCCCAGAGAAACGAGAACCCCCAGATCTCATATTACCACCCCGATTACCTTGAAATCTTGAACCCCTATTTAAATTTCGATTACCAGAAGCAGAAGAAGACCCGATTCTAAAGGAGCCACTAGAAGAAGAACCAGAGCTAAAACCCATTCTCTTGGATACACCACCAGTAGGAGCCAACCCAAAAGAAAATCGACCTCGTGTATCCCTACTCCGGCTACTCTCTGTGTCTCGGCCTCGGCGAGCGGCAATCCTCAGACGATTGCACATCTCATCATATGTCGCCTCGCCCAACAAAGATAGCTGCTGGCGGTATTCTGGCCTCATCTTTTCTAATAACCTCTTTGCTTTCCACTTGCTATCATTAGAAGCCTTCAGATATGTTGAGAACTTAGACAGCTGATTGAATTTTCTTATAAAAGTCTCCTCGTCTAAGTCCCCCTGCTGAAATGCATGAAACTCTGCCTCTTTCTCATCTCTGAAAGCTGGCGGAAAGTGAAAATCATAAAATCTTTCTTTAAATTCATCCCAAGACATAGATCTTCCATCTGTGGGCTTAACAGAATCCCACCAATGCTTGGCTTCACCAACAAGCTGCATCGTAGCCAAGATAACCTTCTGCTCAGATGTACACCTCACAACAGTAAATAACTGCTCCATCCGATCCAACCACTCCTCAGCTTTCCCATCAAGCATACTACCATCATATGTAGTCGGATTAGAGCGAGAGAATTCCTTCCAAGGTTCAGATATGTCATCCTCTCGATTATTAACAACTGGTGCATGAGCTCCCATAGTACTAGAAGATCCCTGCCCAGCACTTAGGTCAACATGCTGATCTGGAACAGTATGACTTCTAAGATTTTGCTGTATATCCACCATAACTTCAAGCAGCCTAGCCATGACTGCATCTGTCCCCTGTGGTGGTGGTGGAGGTGGAGGCGGAGGTGGAGGCGGAGGAGGTAGAGGTGGTGGTCGTTCCTCATTCCTCGATCTACCCCTTCCCCTTCGAGCCATATTAGAACTGAAAGGTGTACGGCCACAAGCGTACGGACCTTTCTCCCCTCCTAAAGGAACAAGCCAGAGAAAGAAAAACCATATTAGTCCAGGTTAGTGGTAGAAGGGAAAGAGCATAAAAGTAATGTATTTAAGGTGCCAAGTAGGAAAAAGGAATCATAAACCTAAAACTGATACCAAATGTAACACTTGCCTTGAGTGTTATCCAAAAATCACATAATTCAAACAAACTAAGTGTGGTTAAGGAGTTGATCCTCTAACCAACTTAAGAAATAAATCATTTAAAACCTTAAAAATAATTATAGGTTCTACCTATAGCGCACGGAAGCAAGTTAGACGAAAATGGAATAAAAAGATGCTGTCATGACAGTAATTTATTGCTGTCATGACAGCACTCCGGACCAACTTCCGGAGTGCACCATTTCATCATCTGACCTCCGATCGGAGTGATTCCAAAGCCCACATGTCACTTTTAAAGAATACTATTAGCATACTAAATTTTGAAAAGATCCAACGGACGGATTGAATTTTGTGCAGGTTACAAAATCAACACTGTAGCTGTCATGACAGCAATTTAATGCTGTCATGACAGCACCTCCAGACCAAATTCCGGAGTGCGTCGTTTCTCCGTCCGATATCCGATCGACGTGATTCCAAAGCCCACACGAAGCTTATAAAAGGTTTTACTTGTGACCCAAATTTTAGAGAAATCCAACGGTCGGATTAAGATTTGGACACCCGGATGCAAAAGTGCAGCTTTTTGGTAAAAACCATTTTCAAAATTGTCCAAATCCCATCCTAATGGTCACAAACCTGTGGAAACACTTTGGACACGTCAAATAAGATTAAAAACACTTGATAGAACATTCAAATGATGGAAAACCCCCATACATCAAAATTTGACCACCCGGGTGCCATTTCCCAAAATGGACCCTAAACCCCCAAAATGCACAAATCATACAAGAGTGGTCACAAATCAATCCAAATACCATGTATTTATATAAATACATATGCTAAACATTTTCACTTGGCTCAGAGCTCCTTGTGGGGCCCACGCACCCACTCTCTCTATCCAAGGTGTATGTTTGCCCATAGCACACCATTTGCAATGCAACCACTTTGCATTTGCTTATAAAATCACATATATATCAAAATAAAGATCTGCTTGTAATAGAAACTTGGTCTACTAAGTAAATCCATCAAAACCACACACCATAACCAAGTTTCCTAGCCACAAGTCTGCAAACAGACAAAAATTCATACACAAGCACACAATCCACACATATTCACACACACACATAATCATATCCTACTGGCACCCTAATCTTAAATACATTACAATATATTTGCTCAAAAGAAAGGGGTTGCAGTTCTTTACAAATCACAAGCAAACCCCTAGCTTTGCTCTTTTCCCCGTCCACCACTGGATCCTTCGCCTGGACCTAGAATATTGAAAAGAAAGGGGTGAGACAACCACAGTCTCAGTAACAGTGAAATCTATATTGATTATTACAAAGTAAGCCATAATTAAATAAATGAATAATAAATTCAACATAGTATATAATTTAGCCATTTAAAATGCATGAATGCATGACCTAGGCCGGTATGGCCTTTCATGACCAACAGAATGCCCCCTGGCACTCTTTAACTCGCAGGTAAACCTTATACCTACTTGTACCTCCACAGGCACAAAACATAATCTAAGGCATGATCTAATCCACCGAACCGCCTATGCCCCTTCGACGTGAATCCTGAGCAGTCAAAGCTAACTCCCTCCCAGAGCCAGCCCGACTTACTCTCCATGTGAGGGCTACCTTGGCCTAGGCACTCAACCTCACACTTCATATGTCGGATTCCCTCCCCCACTGAGAGGTGTCGAACACTCAATACACTAACCACTTTAGTGCACTGAGCCCACAATACGTAAGACAACACTGAGTACTGACAGTGTGCCATAGAATATCAAAAATCACACCTTCTCATTGGTGAACTCCCACCGAGATCATGCCTTTTACTCTTGTCTACCTTTCCTGAGTATTGACCATTCAACACTCTAAAGTAGTATAATATTTATAAATCTCATTTCCATAAAAACATTGTTATTAAACAATTAGAAAACATATTTGCACTATAATCAAAGTAGTACCCCATAACCCCTTATAAAGCACATTTAATCTTTTAAAACATGTAATGCATGATAACTAGTAATATTTATTCAAAAATAGCTAAAACAAAGTAATAAGAAATATAAATTCCCCTGTTACCTCAACCCTTTGGTACTAAAAGGGTTCCCCTTGTACAAAATAGGGCTCGGCTTGTTCCTTACTTCTCAATAAGTTCCACCAACAATTTTCTACAACATATAAGTGATCCACATCACTTATCATGACAAATAGTATTAATGAAGACTATAACTTATACCACACAACTTAGGTCAATGAGTCATAATCCACCCTAATGGTCCATATATTAAACCAACCATTCACATAGTATCACTTAACCACCAAAACCATTTATTAGCCATCACTAGGCTAATTTTCAATTTATATAATTTTTTTAATCAATTAAAAACCTTTACTTAGTGCCACCAACTTTCACCATTAGCCCTTATAATGAAAACCAAACCTTAATTTAAATCTTATTGGGCTCAAATAGCAAAATTATAACTAAATCAATAGGCTTAAACCATTGAGGAGCAAAAACCCAATTTCTCAAGGTTTATTTTGTGCCCAAAACACCTCTTTTCATCCAATTATTCACTCAAAACATTAGATCACTATATAGAAACTCAAAACATGCTCCCTAGAATCCAAAGAAACAAAAGCTTACAAGAATAAAGCCTTTGGGATCAAAATCCAAAAATTTCCTCTTCCAAAAATTGAAGAAAATCAAGAGAAAGAGAAGAGGATTGAAGTAGGGAGTTTACCTATCGTGTAGCCGAGCTCGCAACGGTCGCAAAGACTCCTAGATCCAAGCCTAACTCCCTCCCTTTCTCTTCTCTTCTTCCTCTCTCTCTCTCTCTCCCGTTTGTGCGTTTGCTTCCTTTCTCATTTTCTCTGCGTTTCTGCATCAGTTTGCTCCTTAAAATGCTGGTCAAAAACTTTGGGGAAAATTACAAGAAAGGGCCCAACATTTTTTATTATTGCACAAAAGCCCGGGTCAACTTTGGTAATTTTTCCCATAGTTAAAAATCAAATAAAACCAAACTTTTGCTTAGTAAAATTCGAACTCTGGGCCTCTATTAAATTATTCTAAATTTTAATTTAATTATAGATATTTTATTTTATTTTTGTTTATTTTTTTAAATAAATTTGAGTCTTAAAATTTTTAGGATGTTAATAACATTTGGATTTGCATTTGAGGCACATTAATAACTCGACTTTGTTTCTTCTTCAATGTGATATGCAATAAAGTTATTGACCCCTTAAATTAGATGAGTTGAAACAAGAAGCTTGTATTATCTTGTGTCAACTTGAGATGCATTTTCCTCCATTATTTTTTGACATTATGATACACTTAATAGTTCATCTAATGAAGGAGGTAAAAATGTATGGCCTTGTCTACTTACAATAGATGTACCCAATTGAGATATACATAAAAATATTGAAAGGGTATATAAAGAGTCCATACTACCTTGAAGTATATATTGTTCAAAAATATGTTGCCAAAGAGACTATGAAATTTTGTTATAATTACTTGTCAAATATAGATCCTAAATCTTGTTAGGAGATGAGGCAATTCGGTCAAGATACACATGAGGTATCAGTAAAAAGCATGAATCATGAAGTGCGAGAAATATATTTATGTATCTTGAATAATATTGATGAAGTTCGATCATACATAGATACACATAAAGAACTTCTAAAATTTGCTATTTCTCATTTCTGTCAAAATATATATTCTCACGTTTAAAATCATGAGAAACTTTTCCCAACATGAGCTCTTTTTCTCTAGTTTTCTCTTAGAATTTCTCTAGTTTATTTCATGAGGGATGCCATGAACATTATTGGATTAGTATATATTTCAAAAGAATTTTGCTAGAGAACATCTCTCCTATTTTTTTTTCCATTAGAAAAATTCATGAGAAAATTATGATTTTCTTGTGGTGTTCCCTCCTAAAATAACTAATTAGAATCGTGTCCTTAATTAAATCTTAAACCATCTTGGTTTGCATATTTCTTAGAAGTCCTAATCATGACCATATAACTTCAAGCATACAGTTAATCAAATACTCCAAATAAGTATATTCTAATTTTGGTATGTTACAGTAAAAATTAAATCCATTGATATCAAGAGCTTCTCATAACTCAAGTTCATATGTACCCCCCAAATCTTTGAATTTCTACATTTATATCATACCTATGTAAATTTGAACGTCAATTTCATCTTTAATACTTTTTTATCATCCAATGAATATTGTTTTAAAGAGCGAATATGATATTTATTATGCTTTATTCTTTCTTCTTGAAAACAACCAATTAACTAGGCTATAACTAGGATACAAGAGAGAGAGAGAGAGAGAGAGAGAGAGAGAGAGAGTGTGTGTGTGTGTGTGTGTGTGTTTGTGTAAAGCCTCACTATTAATGGACCATCAAAAGTGAAGCTCATATACCAGACTCCAATTAGAGACCCGAAAGCTAAGTTCATGTTTTAGAAAGGGTGATACAGGAGTCAGTTGCATGCCCAAGTCTTTGAAGTCCATTGTTCGGGCCGCTTCTGCTCTCACAGTTTCCTCTTCCTCGCCATTTGGAGTCTTGCATGAAGACGTGCTGGATGTTTCAAAGAGTGCCACACGTATAAGAGGAAGTATATATTCAGCCTATCTTGATGGGTTGAGGATTCTTTTCAGCAAACAAAGATGATGAAGAGTCCTTGCCATCATGTTGGGCCTCTCTTTGATTTGAAAAGTAATGTTGGTGTTCAATTTTTTAACCATGGCTTTTCTGCTTCAGTTAAGGATAGGAAAAAAAACATGCCAAGCTCGCTCCTTTACTGTTCTCGCGAAGTAAAATTCGTTGTCAAGTCCCTTGTTGCTTCAGCACAAACTTGTCTGGAACCATTCTGTCAACTCATGCCACAAAACAGAGTGAGTTTTCCTTGTAGTGATGGTCGGCAACCAAATTTTCGCTCCAATGGGAAATGTTTCTATTCCACCCGCTTTTCCATATCAGGGAACCTCGATGCCTACTTCTATTCTTCCTAACAATCATTTGGAGTTTTCTGATCTTCACTTCGTTGCATCTTTTTCTTCTTCTAAATTTCAACTTCGCAAGCATAACTTTGCTCTGTTTTCTGGTCTGGAAACAGAGTCTGGTTCTTAAGAAGGATACCAGGTTTCCTCCAAGAAACCTCGTTCATATCCATGATTTGGTTGAGAACCTTCATGTTCTACAGCTGCATGAAGGTCCTTTATCTTGAGCTGCATGTTTTTTGGTTATGTTATTTTTCAATTTGTTTCTGTTCGCGTTGTTGCTTCAAGATATCTTCGATTTGTTCTAGCTGATAAGCTTTTTCACTTGCCCTGGATTCTTCATGAATGGCAGCAATACGTCAAATCCTACGGGAGAAAGTACTTAGAGTTGACTCGGATTCAACTCTTCAATTTGCTCGCGGAGCTCATAGTAGAACACAACAACTGGCTTTTGGTGCTGGTTCACAAGGCTGTTTGTGCAAGCCAAAAATCTTTTCATCTCCTAGAACTTTCAGAAGATGTCTTAGGCTTCTCCTTGTTGCATGTGTTGCTTGTTGAATTTTGGTTTTTGTTTTCTGGGAGCTGTCTTTGTTCGAATCTCGTTTCTTTCAGAGTCTTGTCTTTTACTCAAGTCTTTGCTCATGTTCTTCGTTTACTTTTCATGTATCAGTGTATTGGCCTTTAGTTTTTCAATAACTAAGGGCTTTTGGCTGTAATCGTTTTACTTTCTTTTAAATAAAATTGTCTTCTTTTCCCAAAAAAAGAAAAAAAAAAAGAAATACAGACCCAAAATCTACTTGCAGATAAAATATAATCAATCAATCTGAAGGCATAGGATAAAAAAGGAACAGGCTACGCTCCTACATAGTCGTCTTCTTCTTCACATCTTGGCTTTGGCAACTTTCTAAGAGAGGCTTTGAGAAGTTCCCAGTATAATGGAACTTGAGTGGCAGTATAAAAACACAGAGGTATCAAAATGAGACAATACAAAGGACTCGGCATATACTTCTTCCGTGGGTGAAGTTCAAAGGAATATGCAGCACAGAAAGAGACCAACATTGAGACAATAGACACAAAGAAGGAAGACAAGCCCAAGCAAAGCTTCAATGGCAAATTTCTCAGAAACCCTTTTGGTCGTTCCTTTCGAGAGCCAAAAATGGCCAGAAAAGCAGCCAACGAAGTGATAGAGAAGCAAAATGAAATCAACGTGGCAGTAGTAAATATTTGGAACGGATGGTGAACTTCCAAGTTGGGTTTCCCAGATGTGTCATAACCTCCAGGAACTTGGTAGCATGTGGAAAATGAAACACCTGCAATGAGTGTAGACACCACAATATAAGACCCTGACGTGTCTTTCACCCATTTGTCAGATTCTGAAACGAGATCCTTGTGTTGGTCGGCGAAGATTTCCGCCGGAGTCTGGCCATTTACATTAACTTGGGAAATGAAGTATGATGGCACATTTCCTTTTACATACTGTTTCATCATAAACAGTTAACTTATCAGCACAGTACAATACTTTGCTTATATATCTATATATATATATATATATATCGTACAATAAGTAATTTTGAAATGTAAAGTTCATCTTTAGGTTTGGGCTGAAGCCAAAAAGAAGAAAACTTAGCGAGACGAATTAACGTTCATGTATGGTATTAAGTTAGAAAAGCATAAGAAGAAAAATAGAGAAGTTTTGAGGCATGCACTTTCCAAATTCAAGCCCTAAGTCTGAGTCTTCTAAATATATTAATCATATATATATGATCATAAAAGATGACTTCTCTTTCTAATGAAGGATGTTGAATCTGGTGTACTAATATTAAAACACTACTATAAAAGAGACTTTTGGAAGCATTTATTTTAAAGCGCTTGCTTGTATGTAAAAAAGGCTCTTAAATGGAGACAAAAGATATGTGAGAATTTTTCAAACAAAGCAATTCATAAATTTGTTTTGTATTATTTAAATTGAATGACAAGTTTTTTTTTTTTTAGTTGAATACACATGTGTTACGAGTTTTGTATATGATTGTTGTTTGCAGATTGGTCAATTTGTAAAAGGGCTGAAGAAGGATATATCATTAAAGATGAAAATTTAAAAAAAAATAAATAAATAAATAGTCCTATGAGAGCGCTTCTTGTAACTTGTAAGAAGCACTTGAGCAATTTTAAAGCACTAATGTAAATCAAAAAGAAATGTACTTGTAGACTTTTTTTTTTTTTTAAAGTACTACAAAGTATGTAAGAACATGTAGACTAATGTTAAAAAGGATCTTTAAATGTTGAATAAATTAGGTTTGTACCTCAAACCAGTTAACTTCCCATTGCATTTGCATAGCAGAGCCACGTATTTCCCAAGCTGTATATTTTGACAGTTTTGCTGCCAAGTGCAATGCATTATTCCCATTCACATCTACTTTTTCTCTCCATACATTCCAAAGTGGGTGTTTCATCACTGCCTTCAAAACACGGCTTTGCCTTTCCTCTACTGCCACATGGACTACATTCTTCATCTCTGTCGTTTGGTCATAGGCAGACACCGGGATATCAGTTAAGATTTTGTTCACAAGCTCAATCAGACCATTTTTAGCTGCAATTAACAATGCTGTTGATCTTTTGACTCTTCCTGCCAAACCATGAGCGCCATGTATCAAAAGCTAGCTATCTGATCTTATCCTTCTCTTCCACAGGGGAAGAGCATAAAAAATCAAAAACGAAAAAGAGACATGAATGCTTGCATTTTTTGGGTTCAGCATGAAAGATAGGCTGTCGAATCTCCCTCGAGGTACTGAGAGCAATACATAAACTTCTCTTCACTAAATTAATACATACACAAAGATTGAGATTTTAACTCCTGACCATTTACTTAAATGACAAGAGTTTTTACCCCTCATGTCAACTTTAGTTGGTTCATGCATACTTTTTTAACAAAGTGAATCCTAAGCATAGCATTCCAAATTTGAGAAATGAGATATATCATTTATAACTTGTTAATAACAAAAATTATATATTTGAATTAAATGTATCGTATCATGTCTGAAAAATGAGTACTATTATTAATAATTTATTATATGAAAAATTACATTCAGCTCCCACTGAAAAAAATTTATTACTAAGAGGTCCCATAAACTTTACAAAATACTCTAATTCCAAATTTTCCATATTGATAACTTGACTAAGGACGTTGACAATTAAACAATTGCCATTTATAACTTGTAAAAGAAAATGAAAACTTGTACTAGCGAGTTATAAATAGTTATTGCCCAATTATCAACGTCCTTAGTCAAGTTGTCAATGCTCAAAATTTGAGACTTGAGAATATTTTATGAAATTTATTAGACCTCTCTATAATAAACTTCTTTTTGTAAGTTGGGAATGTAATTTTTCCTTTATTATATTCTATTTGGAGTTACCTTTCTGCACTTCCCTATCCATGTGGTGATAATATGGCACATAACTCAAGTCATGTTTTTCCTTCATAATTTTCTGAAGTTCCATAGCATTTTCCTTATACTTGTACCATGCATCTTGTTTTATAAGCTCTTCCATGAGTTGCTCACCCCAAACGTGCTTCTCTTTAATTTTTCGACAGGTGCCTAGTTATTAAAATACATGTAACCAAAAGCATTAAAAGAAACAGATACTATACAGATGCAATACAATCAAAACAAAACAAAAGGATAAAAAAAAAAAACAAATATCCTAGGGAAGCATGATCACTATCCAAGAACAATCGTTCATATATGTATGTGTGCGTGTTTGTCTCTCAACCTTGGGACCAAAAATATGCACTTTTTATGAACTGGGTCTGATATTGCGCTTCAGTATTTTCAACGTCTACAACATGGGACTCCACGGGAGGATCAAACTTGAGCTTCTCTACATGAATCACTGTTTACATGATATAATTAACCATTGTGGTCAGTTCATAATATGTAATAATAATGTAGGGAGAATTTAATTAAAGGACCACCGATGTGACCTTCTTACAAATCAACCTCAAAACAATATAATCCGAAATATCACTGTAGGATTTTGGGTCTAATTTAAAATTAAATTGTAAAACAAAATAACCAAAATATCATTCTTCAGTTAAATTGAACAACACACGTAATGGATGTAACAAGTAACGACAGGGGGTAAACAAGTAACATTATATATCTAACAAGTCAATTACATTACAAGTAATGGATTGATTAGATACGTAACACAATGGATTTAACAAGTAATGACAGGAAATTAACAAGTAATATAATGCATTAACAAGTCAGACATTACGTAACAAATATATAACTGAAGTAATGGATTATTATAGGTTAGATGTTGAACAAGTAAAATAATGAACTTAACAAATAAAAACAGGGAATTAACAACTAATATTACTTGTTAAACCAGTAATTTTAATTGATATAACAAGTAACTTGACAAGTAATATAAGAAAATATAATTGACAAGTAAAGTTACATAATAAACAAGCCTTATAAAGTTGCTAGATGTAACAATACAAAGAGCAAAATGATGTTTTCGCTATTAACATTGATTTCACTCCAGCCCCAAATTTCTGCAGTGAGTTTTTAAAATTATTTGGGCTTGATTTGTAAATATGTGAGATCGATGATCATTTAATAAAATTATCCCAATAATTCAACCCAAACAAAAAGAGGAAAAACAAATTAAAGAAGATAAAAAAGGTAAAGGATAATGATACTTACAGTGGTAAAGGAGCTTGTTCCATAAAGATAGACGCGTTCCACTTTTAAAAGCAGATGGAATAGAAGCAAGGACATTCAGAGGTATGTGTCCTTCATCATTGAAACTGCTTCCAATGCTTCGGTCTTTATAAAGGTTAATTATTTGGAATGACAAATCTGGTCAGCATTCAAAAAGGCGATTCATTAGGTTTTTTCTCTTCCCTTTTTTTAGCTTATGCAACCTAAACAATAGGTCAGGGATATTCTAATTTTACTTCTTATCCATTTCTTTTTCCAAAAAAAAAATTATCTATGACAATCATTATTATCAACATAATCAATATATTAGTAAAAAATTTAAATTTATAATAGATCACATCGTTCCCAACTGTAAATAGCTAGGGTGACATTGCTGAAGTTCTATAATCCACATAAGCCCATCTAGTCAATGATAAACACGATATGTGATTTAGATTGCTACTGTTAATTTTCATGCATTTAGTCCAAAGCCATATATCTACATACAAATCATTCAAATTAATTAAGAAAAATGCAATTATTAGTGTCTATCATTTTTACATGTTTTGGAATAGGTTCTTATAGTTTTTTTTTTTTTGGTTGCTGTAGGTGATCTATTTAGTTTATCTCGTCTGTAATGTTGATCCCTTTATTTTTAAATATGTCCAAAAAAAAAAAGGATGAGGTAGTATTAACAATGTTAAATATATTGAGTTGTGACTAACGTTATTAATCTTTGAGATGAGGTGGAATTATGATTCAGAATTATTTGAACATGAAACAATGTTATTTAATCTGCTGAATTATAAATCCACCTCTTTATTGATTGGCAACGTTAGTCATAGGTCAATATGTTTAGCACTATTAGTGCTTTCTCATCATCTTTTTAAGTATATTTAAAAATAAAGGGATTAACATTGCAAACGGAATAAACTAGAAGGATCTGGAATAACAGAAAAAAGATTACAGGCACTAATACCAGAACACATTAAATAATATGAATTAATAGTTATGTTTTTTCAGTTAATTTTTTTGTCAACAGTTTTCAAATTGTATGGGAAAAATACGTACGAAGGAAGAAAAATGAAAATTCACCGTTTTAGAAGCAAAAAAAGTCCGAACCTGAACGGTAGATACCATCTCACATAGCCTTATATAGAAATTAAAGATGCACTATTTTATAACTCGTAAAATAGGCCAATTATGGTAACTTTTAATATTACATATATGTAAAGGTCAAAACTGTGAAACTTACTGACCAAAGTATTTCCTGTGAATAGTACAGTGAAGTATACTATCTCCATTATTTCTTTTCCAGAGGGGAATTGACGACCCTGTGTCCATGTTTCTGCAAACTGAGTGGAGATAAAGGAACGTCTCTTTATGACCGTTTAAAGCAGCCAAGAAGAGCGGTGTCTCTCCGTCAATGTTGCGCTCACGAACCAATGATTTATCGACACGTAATATCTGACGACACATGAAGGACGAGCCTCGTGAGGCTGCACAGTGCAAAGGAGTATCTTGTCGTTTATTTCCAGCTCTGAGAGCCTCCATGGTATTATGCTTAGTCGTTACTATTTCATCAACGAGCTCCTTAACGCTGGTTTCTGAAGCCCCGTTGGTGATCGCCGAGTGCAACGCAGTGTCGTCCATATCATTGATCTTCGTGGCGTGAATCTCTGGATTCTCCTTGAAAATCTGCACGACTTCGTCCCAATCTCGTCTCATGACGCCAATGTGCAATCGACGCTGAGAAATCTCTTGTAGTACTGCTGCTGATTTGTTGCCGTCCGGATCCATTTCTCTGTCGTTTATTTCACATTTACCTACCACCACTTGTCATTGAGCTGTGTTTATAGAACAGACCTCAACAAAAAAGTCATTGAGGGAATGACCAAAAAAATCAAAAGAATCAATTAAATTAAGTTAGATCTCAAAAGCCAAACTTTAAAAATTTTATAACTGCATTATAATAAATTTATAACTTATTTTTTAAATTTTAACATGGTTAAAAAAATAAAAATATTTATTTTTATATTAAAATTTAAAATACAAGTTGTAAATTCATCACAACAGAATTATAAAATTAAATAATTAAATTATAAATTTTTAAAATTTAAAACTTAAAATTTAATTTAAATTAATTAATCTTTTGAGATTTTTTTATCATCCTCTCAAAGTTATTTCACATTTCTTTCTTACTCTGGGCTTATCTACATAATTAAACAAGGAATAGTAATAGAATAATTAGAGTTAGTTTTCTTTTATTAAACATTAACAATGAATATACTTTTCGTGTTAAATGCCTAGAAGAGTAACTCAATGTGCACTTCTTCACGTATGGGAAAAACATATTCTAAGATCATTTTACTTTCTACAGGAAAGGACGGAGTGGAAGGAACAAATAGTTTTCGTCATGTCAGAAAAAGGAATAAAAAGAGAATAGTGATCCTCTGGTTATTAAAAAAAAAAAAAGGATCAGAAAAGAAAGTTGATAATCTGGCCTCGTCAGAGCCATTAAAGCTGCACAAGGAATGATATCCATACGCAGATGTCGCTTTTTCACTTTAATTTCAAATGCCAGCGCTGCAAATGCGCGGTGAAAATTAAATATTAAAGGACAAAGAAGGTGTTTGATCAAGCTAAGTATAACTAATTAAATATTAGCTTTGGCTGTTGGAATAAAATGGAAAGAAAAGGAATGTCTTGGTAGTAAAGAAAATAGATTAAAATAAGGTTGTATATTAATGAAAAAAATAAAAATTATAGAGGTGAGAACTTGAAGGGATGAAAGGTAGGAATGAGATTGGGGATTAATGATAAATTTGCATTTGGTACCGCCAGCTCCTCAGGGCAGGAGTAATCGTGGTCATCCATTTCAGTTTAAATTAATCTCTACTGTTTATTTAAATTAATTTTTAAATATTTTTACTATTATATTTATTAATATAAAAAAATTAAAATTTTAATAAATTTGTTTATTATCAATCTACCGGTACAAATAGAAATCTAATTTAATATTAAAATTTTTTATAATTTTATAGTTTGACTTTTTAAATAGACTCTAGATAATTCAAATATAATTTAAATGACCTGATTTAATATTTAAAAATTTATAAATTTTATAAATTAATTATTTAAATGTATTCCAAATAGTTTAGATTTAATATTAAAATTTTTATATTTCTTATTTTAATAAATATAATATTAAAAATATTTAAAAGTTAATTTAAAAGAATGGCAAAGATCATTTTAGAATAAAATGGAGGGCTAGATTGCTCTTGGCCCTAATGAGCACAATGCTCATCACAATGATGGATACCGAATATGGACGCATTGATAATTTTGTTCATAGAAATCTCCATTATCATCCCCCCGATTCTCTCAGAGTTTTAATTTTTCTATTTGTTTATATATCTCTATCATTCCATAAGTTTATTTTAATTCATTTTATTTTCTATAAATCATTCCATTCTTTTTATTCCTCTCCAACAAACAAATGGGTCCTATACTTATCTATGAACTAGTAACATTCCAATCAAGCGTGTGAATGAAACACGCGTTGTAAGCAACAAAAAAGATGGCTAGAGAAATCACTTTAAGATTACAACTCTCCTCTAGGAGGCCATTATGGGCTCTTTTTGTTCCAACCTTCATACTTGTGATACAAATTGTTCAATTATTCAAAGTATGATGCAACATGTCAAAAACTGTTGCCCAATTACATGCTGTCTCTCTTATCCCAGGGAACGATTTTCAAATGTTGCTCAAGTTTTGTTGCTTAAAAGGAGAGTTAAAAGTTGCACTCAAAGAATTGTTTCTTATTCTTAGCATATAACACTTTATTTTTTACTTATCGTAAAGTTAAATGTTGCCATCGCTTTAACATGTTGTTGGGATATTTATAGGCTCACAAATAATTTTACAATTTTTTTATTGATAACTAGGGGAAAAAAACAGAAACTAGACAATAGTACTAATACATTGTACCAAAATTATATCAAAGCCAGAAAAGGACACAATAGTAGATGAAACCCAACAACACAGGAAAGGGCCATCTTGGCTAGCATATCAGCAGCTGCATTGTCATCTCTTGCAATTCTCTAGCTATGCACCATCCATTCCCAAGCCAAAAGGGCTTGAATTTCAACCATAATTCCAATGTTAGGGTGGTGAAGGGGCATGTCATTGTGAATTGCACCAATGGCTTCCCCGAAATCAGATTTTAAGATGATCTTCTGAAATCCATGATCCTAAGCCATTTAAGGCCTCCATATACAAGTCCATAGTTCAGCACAAAGCGAATCGACGTCATCTTCAATAAATTCTACTATATATTTATATTATTTTTCAAGGTCTTCTACATCATGCGTGTCTCTAATTTTATAATATATATGCAGAAAATAATTTCAAAATATATGTTTAAAATTAAATAATAAACTATATCACAAATATCCACTTGGCTACCATCTATATTCACATATTTATTTTAATATAAATTGATCGTAGGAGTAATTGCTCCCACAAATATATGAGATTAATATAGTAATAATTTTCAGAGTATTATAGGAGTCAAACTCAAAAGAAAGAATTAACTTGGTTATTTTATAAAAACCAAGAGTTTTGACATAGGATTTAATAACTAATTAAAATACTGAAAATAAATAATAATGATAAAGATCATGAATTAATCAATCAAACAAGCGCTAGAGATCATAATTCACATACTAGGATGTTACTCTAATTTGATTAATTATCTCCTCTATTTACAATGACAATTTTTCCTAAGATATCCTAATTACCCCTCGGTATATTAAGATGTATTTATCTAAGGTTGAATTAGCTCTCACTAATCTTATTAAGACCTTAAACAAATAATCTAAGTCATTACAAATCCTAAATTATCTTTGATTCATTTACCTGTGTCTATCTCTCTAGATTTAAATTAAATCTTCACCTCTTAATTTATCAAATAACTCACAAAAAAATTTATACAGTAGTCCATCTATATAAAAAGTAATTCAAACAAAAGATATGAATATAAATATAAATGAAAAATCCTCATCAATAAGAAATCAAGTTCAACTGAAAAAATAAACAAAACTAAATTAAAAGAGAAAAATCTTTTTCAATCAAGCTACTCCTTATTTTAATTGAGAGTTTAAAAACAGCTTATAAAGTTCACACCAAAACACCAATTAAAAGACATAAACAAATTCTAAAGAAATAAGAAGTGAGAAAATAGTTTGAAAGAATTCCTCTAAACTTTACAATGTGCCTTCTAACCTTTGCATAAGAGATTGGATGATTGTTGGAGGCTCTTAGGTTTATTTATAATTATTTCGTTCTTTTGGGCTTATAATTCAGCTACATCATGTCTCTTACCTTATCTGATTCAAAAAAATATGATTTAAATTGAACTTGAGCTTGCTGGTCAAAAAAAAAAAAAACAAAATTGAACTTAAGCTTTACATTGCTAGTTGCCACATGTCTTCTGCTGACGCCCACGCGCGATGCGGCACATTTCATTTATGTCCGCGCGTGGGTGATAGGTGTAAGGAGCTTGTTTGTTTAGTTCTCTCTGCACGGGAGATAGTGGAGTACTAGAGTTGCCCGCAGCCAGCCGAGCAAGGGTAGCTTGAGATCCCATCCGTCTGCTATCCCATAACTTTAATTATACTATTTGTTTATATATCTCAATCATTTTTTTTTTTATAAATCATATCATTTCATTTTATTTCTCTTTAATAGTCAAATGGGTCCAACGGTTATCGATGAACTGGTAATATCCCAATCAAGAATACATAAAACACGTGTCACGAGCGATAAAAAGATGGTTAGAGGAAGCACTTTTAAGTTTACAGCTCTCCTTAAGGAGGCCATTATGGGCTCCTTTTGTTCCAACCTTCATACTTGCGATGAAAAAGTCAAATCATTCAAGCTGAAAAATTATAGGCACACCAATAATTTTCACTAAATTTACTCTATATATATAGATATATTATTTTTCAAGGTCTTCTGAATCATGTGTCTCCAATTTTAATATTCATGCAGAAAATAATTTAAAATGTGTTTAAAATTAAATAAAGTGTATCATAAATTTATTTATCCATAATTTGGTCTCTAGAGCTTTGCACATACTCAAGTGGTGGTGGTTACATTGCTGATTAAATTAAAAAAAAAATACTTCCTTTGTTCAAAATTATAAGATATTTTTTGAGAGGTTATATATTAAAAAATATAAAACATTTTTAGTCTTTTAAGACATAATCATTGTCTTTTTTTAAGTTCTCCCATTGAATTAATTAATTTATATTTATTTTATGATAAAGTACCCTATTAAATAGCAATAAATATAAAAAGATAGAGTTAATTTGAAAATAAGTAATTACTTTATTAAATGGTGAAATTCAGTTAAAAATATCTTATATTTTTAAATGGATGAAGTATAGCTTAGGAATTTTGAAATAACAAATACTGTTAATTTTATAAGAGAGCTTTAAGAAACCGTACTCATGAGCTCAGAATGATCATAAAAATTCTATTAATTAAAGCTGAAAATAATTTTTTGACAATATCTCTAAATATAATTACTAAGGGAAAAATTATAAAGAATATATAAAATCTCTCCCTTACTTAAATTCAATACCCGCACAGCTAAATTGAATATCGTCCTCATCACAAGCATATAAGTGGAATGGTCTTTTCCCCCAAAATATAATATTATATGTATATATATATTCAAAAATGCTAAGTTTTCAACTATCATGTTTGTATTATATATATAATTTATCTTTTTTATA